TTTGGGTTTTAATTGGTTTTTAGTAGGGGAAATTTTTTTTTTTTTGTATGATGTTTTAATACGCTGTGAGCCGCCCTGAGTCCCATGGGGAGAAGGGCGGCATATAAATCCTAAAAATAAAATAATAATAAAAATAATGTGGAGGGAGAAGGGAGGAGGGAGGGAGGAAGGGTGGGAGGTGGAAGGAGAGAAAGGGAGGGAAAGAAAGGGAGGGAGGGAAGGAGGGAGAGGGAAGGGAGGGAGGAAGGAGGGAGGGAGTTGGAAGGAGAGAAAGGGAGGGAGAGAGAAAGAGAGGGAGAGAGAGGGAGAGGGAGGAAGAGAGAGAGAGAGATGCAGGAATAGTGGACAAAACCAAGGCCTGGGGCTGCCCAGTCTCTCGAATCAGCTGCCATTTGGATGAGCATCTTAACAAAGGGAGGGGTTTTTTCCCCCTTCCCTCTTGCTTTTAAGAGGAGCAGAAGAGGGTCTGTCTGCTTCAGGCTCTGAATTCATCGGCCGCCTAACAGCGCAAGGAAGCCCCCGCCCCCCGGTGCTCTGCTGAGACTCCGGCCCAGAAGGAGGGAGAGTGGGGGGTGGGGGGGCCTGAACCCCAAGAGCAGGAACACCCAGGCCCCTTCCCAGCTTTTCTGTGATCCTTCTGGGCGGGAAGGAGGAGGAGGAGGAGGGGGGGGAGGGAAGACCGACCTTCTTGTCGTCCACCACTTTGCGCACGTAGATGGTGGCCTGGGTGTATTCCCGCAGGTCTCTCTGCTGCTGGTACAACAGCCCTTCTCGGCAGTCCAGGCACAGCTCTGGGGGAGAGGGAGGAGGAAGGGGGGGGGTCTGTCTCTGCAAAGACCCCACCCGGGCTCTGCAGGGCCTCGGCCGGAGAACCGGTGGCCGTGACGGGGCAAGGGAGTCGCGAAACCCTCCGAGGCCCTTGGAGTGAAAACTCCTGGCATGTGGGGCTTTAATTTTGAGGGCACCGGAGGGAATTCTGGCTCTCTTTGGACTCTCATATGCCATGGAGGGAAACTCCTCAAGGGGAGAAGCAACCTGGAACTAAGGAGGAATTTCCCCACAGGGAGAACAATTAACCAGTGGAACTGCTTGCCTCCAGAAGTTGTGGGTGCTCCAACACTGGAGGTTTTTAAGAGGACATTGGACAACCGTTTGTCTGGAATAAGGTCTCCTGCTTGAGCAAGGAGATGGACTAGAAGACCTCCAAGGTCCCTTATTCTATTCTATTCTATTCTATTCTATTCTATTCTATTCTATTAATTTCATTTGTATTCTATTCCATTCTATTCTTCTATTCTATTCTATTCTACTTTATTATTCTATTCTATTCTATTCTATTCTATTCTATTCTATTCTATTCTATTCTATTCTATTCTTCTATTCTATTCTTCTTTATTCCATTCCATTCTATATTCTATTCTATTCCATTCCATTGCAGTCCATTCCATTGCAGTCCAGACTAATTTCTATTCTATTCTGCATTGTATTGTATTGTATTGTATTCTAGTTTCTATTTTATTCTGCATTGTATTGTATTCTACTCTAGTCTATCCTGGTCTGGTCTAATTTCTGTTTTGTTTTGTTTTGCATTGCATTCTCGTCTAATTTCTATTCTATTCTATTCTATTCTATTCTATTCTATTCTATTCTATTCTATTCTATTCTATTCTATTCTATTCTATTCTATTCTTCTATTCTATTCTGCATTGTATTGTATTGTATTGTATTGTATTATCTATTCCTATTCCATTCCATTCTATTCCTATTCTATAATCCAGTGGCCCCCAACCTTTTGGGTTCTGTGGAGAGAGGTTTTTCCGCGGACCGCAGGGTGTGTGCTTTTGTGTGCTGCCTGCATCCCGCGGATGGGTTTTGTTCGTTTGTGCAGACCGGTTGCTGGCATGCTGCGGCCCAGTACCTGTCCACGGACCGGGGGTTGGGGACCCCTGCTATAATCTATCCCTACCCCATCAGAGAAAGGAGCCACAGAGACAGAGCGACCCGGCTGAGATGAGTAGAATTAAGGGTAGAGACAAGCAGAGGCCCTTGACTCATCACGGGAAAGGAGACGTGACCCGCAACCAACACCTCCCCCTGCGAAGGTGTGTCTGCTCTGAATGTCCTTGCGGAGAGGCCCCTCCCTGCCTGCCCGCCAAGGCTGCTTGAGAAGCGGGATGCCCAGGCTTGCCGCCTGCCAAGAAGCGCCCGGAGCCCACGGGAGCAGGGCACGTGGTGCCAACGTGTCTCTTTCCCTCGCGGCCTCCCCTCCTGCCGGCTCGCTCACTCACCAGGCTCGGTCATGTACAGCAGGCGCTCGGCGCTCTCCTCGGGGGCCTCCCTCCGGATCACCCGGATGGCGTGATCCACCACGAAAAGCTTTCGGATCTTCTCCCATTCGTCGGGCCATATCAGAGCT